TGCCCATTATCCCGCCCTTACCCGCCTCCCCACATCCCTTCCCCACACCCATTACTCCACCCCCATCCCTCTCTGGCTCAGCCCACACGTGTCTTTTGATCTAGGGAAGTTCAAGGGGACAGATCAGGGATAGATGCATGTGTGGCTGTGGCCATGAAATCATTGCACAGTTTAAAGAAATGGTATGTGTGCTGGGTGTGTCCTTTGTGGGAGGTGCTGTGCATGGGGAGCTGTGTGTAGGATCTTTGCGGTGGGGGGGGGGGCTCAAGAGAGTATGGCAAGAGTGCAGGGTGTGGGCTGGAGTTACAGGAATGTCTTGGCAGGTGAGGCTGGGGGCTCTGGGCCCTGCAAGGGCTTCTCCCTCATGACCAGGGTGTGGCAAGTGGGCCCTGACCAGTCAATGAACTCAGGGTCTGGAAGAGTCAGCGGCTTTTCCACCTTTTTTGCCAAATGGGATGTCAGCATTGGGGCGGGGCAGGGCGAGAGAGGGAAAGGGGATGCCGGCAGGCAGGCAGGCAGACCAGGCTGGGAAGGTGGCAATGACTTCATGACAGCTGGCTGCTGAGCAGCTGGCTGAGGGGGTGGAGAGCTGGAGCCTGACTGGGCCAGGAAGCCTGCCCCCTTGGCCACTGGTCAAGGCCAAAGTTACTGTTCCTTTCCAGACAGGGATAGGCAGCCTGGCCTCAGTTCCCTTTTTGGGGCCTCCTGACTGCACACCTGCCATCCTGGGTAAGACACCTGTCTCCACTTTACAGATAAGGAAACTGAGGCTCACTAAAGTTGTGAGACTGGGGGAGGGGCGGTAGCACGTCCCCTACTGCGCCACTGCCTGCCTATGAGCGTGAACACCAGGCCTTCTCTGAAAGACTAGGCATAGAGTTCTCAAGGCCACCCAAACGAGCTTCTTGGGGAGTGCCTCCACTTCTACCGTTTGGGGGCAGGCAATGTCCCCCATCCCTGTGTACTGAATCTTGGGCCCCTCCCTACCACAGGCCAGAACGCTGTTTTCCAGCCGAGACTTCATTGACTGCTGGCTCAGACTGGTTCCTCAGCAGGGCTGGTGGGACACCAGACCACAGAGCTGGTGGGTGTGAACCTGGCCTTTGTACCCACAAGCTGATATCAGCTTTGGGGGTGTTCTTTCTTCCCCCATTTACTAGTTTCCCATAAGAATAATAACTACCCTACATAACCTTTGTAGTTCATAAAGGGCTTTCACAGACATTGTCTGGTTCAGTGTTTGCCCTCGCCTTGTGACAAGCAACTCATGCACCCATTTTATAGAATAAGAAACTTAAGTCAAAGAGGGAGGTTCTGGATGAGTCTCAGATCCCAGTGTCAGGAAGTAGCTGGTGCTCAGGCCTCTCTGACCCAGAGCTTGGCAGTCATGTGATTGAGACTGGGTCCTGCAGCCAACAGTGAGGAGTACAGCGGTCCTCGACATCTCCAGTGGGAATGTGGTAGCCTACTCCCACTCTGCTTGTCCTGTGTGGGGTGGGGGGTATGGCATAGGGAGGAGGCACAGTGAGACAAAGGTGACCCATGCTGAGAGCAGGCCATGTGCTCAGGAGGGTCTCCCAGAACAGCGCTGGCTGCTGGTGGTACTAAGCTCTGGCTGAGGAGTGGACCAAGAGTCTAGCAACAGCGCCTGGAGCCGGCTGCTGCCCTGTGCAACCCTGTCTGCAGCTGGAGGAGAAAGGACAGTACAGAGCACTCAGCAGAAAAAGGGTGGTGCTGGTGGTAGAACCCACTTAGTTTTTTGGTGACCAGAGAAACTGCAAACGCTGAGAAGCGAAAGCCACCCTTCCTTCCAGGCTCCTCGGGAACCTGTAATGGAGGAAGCTGTTTTATGTATGTGGCGCGGTGGTCCCCATTTTAATTTATTTTTCAGACAGTCTCATTTTCTGAGACAGCACTGGCTGGCTGGGATCTTGGGATCCTCCTGCCTTAGCCTCCCAAGTTTGGGGACTATAGGTGCATCCTGCACAAAGAGATCTAGTTTTTAATTGAGGAATGGTACCTGATTAGCTAGAAAACTTCTAGGCCTTAAAGGAAGGGGTTGGGATCATATCTGACCTCACCTCTGCCACGGCAGAGAGTAGGCTTCCTTGGGGAACCTGAGCAAAAGGAACGTTCTAGTAAGCGTACTGGGAATTCTGAGAAAAGTTTCAGGGCCAATTCTCTATGCTATCTACCCTTGACTCCTTTCTGACTGGGAGCTGGGAGAGAATGTTCCCTTAAACCTCTCAGCCCTCCTGGGTTGTGGCTGCCTCCCCCAGAACCCTCAAATAATCCAGACCCTGCAAGGAGACATCATGGGTACGGCTGGCTGGCTGCCCCTCTGAGAGGGCATGTCCGTAAAGCCGAGGCCAAATATAGAGGGAACCAGACACCTCATGGACCCAGGGCCCAGGGAGCCCCAAGGACTCCACAGTGCATGCCCCACCCCCGGCTTTTCTGAGTCCTGCAACCACCACCACCCCCAGCCTGGGCAAGCAGCCAGGAGACTGGCATCCCCTTTTCTGGCCCCAGCTCACTTGGGTACATGTCCCAACAAGTCCAAGCACAGCAGGAGGCTGGTTCAAGGGGGTGGGGGCAAAGTTTGCGCTGGGTGTGAGCGTGGGGACACCTTTCTAAGCCCTTTTACAAGCGTACCTTCCCACAGGGCTCTCAGCACCAGGAGACCAAGAAACCACTCTGCCTTCTGTTCTTTAGCTTCCCTGGGAGACCAAGACCATAAAGTTGGGGTGCGGGAGACCAGAAAGCCAGGCCAAACCCCAATAAACTGCTGGCCAAATCGAACTGCAAATAATTAGTCCCAATTGCCTCCTCCCTCCTCTCTGGGGAGGGAAAAGTCAAAGGGCAGAGTTGCTGACGCAAATGTCAGGGGAGACATGTGGAGGCTTGAAACAGCTGGGCTCCTGCTCCCAGCGAGGTCACTGGATCCCTGAACACTGTGTCCCCCAGGGTGGCTGGGAAAATTGTTCTCAGAGCCCTTGAGGTGAGGGGGCTCTGTGGCTTTTCCTTCCCAGTTCCAAGGTCATTAGAGCCAGACGGAGAAGGTTAATCAGACTCTTGGGGAAAGACCTCTGTCTCCTGTGAAGGGGATCCTGGCTCTAAACCCTCTTCTAGGTTGTCTGGTGGGCATGCCTCGGCAGCTTCACCAAGTCTTTGCAAAGTGGTGACCCCCAGTGGTCAGTGCATGACTTGAATTTGGGCCTAGGCGGCTACCATTCAAACACTGCAGTCTCAGCCCCAGGCCAGGGAACCTTGGACACAACAAGAGTAGCTTGGGGATTTGGCTTTGGTCAGGGATATTTACCAGGTCTTAATTTTTCCTCACTGAATTGTGGCTAGACCTCAGCTGAAATATCCCACTGTTAGCAGATCAGGGTCAGCATGTCTAAGGATGAACTCATCAGCTCCTGGCCCCAATCCTGCTCCTCCTCCGGACTTCCCTGTTTCCTTTAATAGCACTGCCACCACCCAGTCCCTGGAGCTCCAAACCTTGTCATCTTCAACCCCTCCTCTCTGGACTGGGCACCTGCCCTGCCCTTCCATCCTCTAGTTAGTTGGCCTTTTGCAGAGCCGCTGGCGTGCTCAACAGCGCCACCTAGAGGCCAGGCCTGATCACATGACCCACCACCTGCTGACTTTGTGTCTTGGGGCAACTCTCAGCTTTCTCAGTTATAACCTAGCTAGAATAATCATTGTATAGGGTAATGTGTGACTCAACTGACAGAAAGGACCTAAAAAGCCCTATCATCTAAGTTCCTAGACAAGGGAGGATTTTATACATCATGTTCCCCAAAGCTTACACTTTACAAGGAAACTGAGGCCCAGAGAGTCAGGGTAGGAACTAACAGAGGTGTTAAACACAAAGTGTCTTTACAATACACTGCAGAGCTATCCACAGACCTCGAAGATTCCTGCTAGTTTTAGTGTTTCTCCCTCCCCCATCATTCCGTTCTAGAACCCTGAACTAAAGGCTGCCTCTCAGTTCATTAGGCCCATCCCCTGCCTTCAGGCACAGGTACACCTGGCAGGTGTTGAGGTCATTTAGCTATTCCTCAATAGGAATAATAATTCTGTGATGTGACAGTCACTGGCCACATACAGAAGTCTGAGTCAGGGCAGCCCATCCGCAAGGTTCTAAAGCGAGGGTGAGCACACAGCAGCTTGCCTGAGGGGTATGGCCTCATGTCAGATGTCCCAACGGGTAGGGGTCTCCTCCTGTACTCCTGCTGTCCCTGTTCTTGTCCCTCCTACACCAGTGTCCATGTAATTTTTAGTCAGGAGGCTGACCCAGCTTGCTGCTATCCAGTTCTGGTTCCCCATGGGCAGATGTTTCTTTCATTCACCCTGCGGATAAGGACCTGGATTACTCCCTTCATCCTTGGAAGAGGGTTAAAATCATTACCAGATTCCCGAAGGGGACTTTTACCCCTGAAGAGGCCACAGCGAGATAATCAGGTAGCACCGGGCGGTGGTGGCATGGTGGTGCACGCCTTTAATCCCAGCACTTGGGAGGGCAGAAGCAGAAGGATCTCTGTGAGTTCAAGGCCAGCCTGGTCTACAGAGCAAGTTCCAGGACAGGCGCCAAAGCTACACAGAGAAACCCTATCTCATAAAACCAAAAGAACATCAGGTGGCCTGTAGAGATGGCTCAGAAATTAAGAACACTGACTGCTCTTCCAGAGGACCTGGGTTCAATTCTCAGCACCTATGTGGCAGCTCATAACTGTCTGTAACTCTGGTTCCAGGGGACACAACACCCATAACAATATACTAATAGTAGTAGTAGTAGTAGTAGTAATAATGATAAAAGAACATCAGGTGGAAAGGCTTTCAAAATGAGAAGGATGGGGCATCCTAGAGTCCTCGGTCACCTGTCTTCTAACACCATGGTTCTCAAATGGATGGATGCTTTTGGTTCCAGAGACCATTTAGAGCATCTAGAGAGAGTTTCTGTTGTCATAACTGGGGAGTGGGGACTGCTAGATGTTTTTAGTGGGTCAGGACAAAGACGTTGTTATGCAGCCTATTAGTGCTCAGGTCAGACCAGGGCACAGGACAACCAGCTGATGGACACCGATCTGAATTTCACAGTCTTTGTAAAGATCTTGATGTTCTTGTCCCCCTGGCCAGCCTGGGAAACTTTCTAGAATAGTCCTTGCTGACTTCTCGACTCTTTCAACAAGGACAAATAGGCCCTGGAAGGACACCCAGGCCTGGGTACTCACAATCCCGTTTCTTGAACCTTGTGTCCACCAGATTTGCATGTAGTCCTTGCTGCTGAATTCATGAGGGCAAAGATGAGGGCAGTGAAGAACAAAATAGCTCTCTCAGCTCTCTTCAGAACCAACCTTCAACCCCATGGAGAAGATGGACTTGCAGAGAAGCAGAGGCAGCTTGGCAGGGCCAGGAAGCTTCTGCCAGCCTAGTGGGTCACATGTCCTTCTTCAGTCTCTACAAACACCGTTCCTATATAATAACCACTGCCTTCTCCCTGGGACCGGTTAGTGTTCCCAAATGGAACTTCTTCCCCTGACCTCTAGAGCTCTGCCATCAGGGCTTCTCACATTATTCAAGTATCTGCTCAAGGTAACCGACAGCAACCCTGAGATTCCATCCTGGCACTGATTATCTTATGGGACAGAAGACTCACAAACATGCCCACTCTCTGTCTCATCTTAACAGAGGACACAACTTTCCCCATCATGGTGTCAAGCTATTGGGTAGTGGCCCTGGGCCTGGCATTGAACCCCAACTGTACTCTGATAACCTCAGGCAGGTAGATTTCTAAAAGAGATGCAGCAATGGTGGCAGAGTCCAGTGCCGGAGGAAGGAGTCCTCTGAGTTCCTAAGTGGAGGTGTGGCCCTGAGGGATCCGGGGCTATATAAAAGCCACCACTTGCCTCAGGGGCCTGCTGTGGGACAATTGTCTTGTATTGGTTTAATAAAGCACTGACCAGCCAGTAGCCAGGCAGGAAGTATAGGCAGGGTGACCAGAACAGAAAAATTCTAGGAAGAGGAAAGGCTCAGTCTGCAGTTGTCATCCAGACACAGAGGAAGCAAGATGAGAATGTTTCGCTGATAAAAGGTACCAAGCCATGTGGCTAAACAAAAAAGAATTATGGGTTAATTTAAGATGTAAGAATTAGTTAAAAAGAAAGCCTGAGCTATTAGGCCAACCAGTTTTTAATTAATGCAGACCTCTGTGTGTTTCTTTGGGACTGAATGGCCGTGGAACTGGGCAGGACAGAAATTTCAGGCAACAGCAGCCACCTCTTTTTGGGATCATGTTCATTTCCTGGAAATCCCTTCCTGCTCCACGGCAATTAATGTTTACTTTCCTTCCACTATGCTGCCACTCTGGGGAGGGGGGTGGCGTGTCTGTCAGCCTGCCCCACTACCCAGCAGGTCATCCTCACCTTTTAGCATTTGTCTATCTTTTGAGCCCCAGAATTGGGGAGGGGCAGTGATGGCCTGGCCTTCCTGCCCAAAGGATGTTTCTGGCATTCCTGTACTGGGCCAGGATGCCCCAAAGAAGGGCTGGGAATTTGACTGCTACTTGAAAAGGGTCTTTGCATGAACCCTCAACTCCCTGGCTAATGCAGCCCCTCCCCAGCTTTTCCCAAGGCAACTTTGCTTGCTCTTCCCTTTCTTTACCAGTGCTGTCTAGCCATGTCAGCTGGTGGGATCTACACGGCAGTGCTGTGCACGATGAACTTTCAGCGTGGGGATGCTACCTCCCTAGGAGCACTTTGGCTGGAGTTCGGGGCATTCGTGTCCACCCTTCTGGGGTAGAAGTGAATCCTCGGGAAGTATTGAGCTCCCCGAGCTAGAGGCCAGCAGTCACCACTGCTGAGGCGCTCCATCCTTCAGGCCTGTGCCTGCTTTAGACAGATGTGTGGCTCAGGCAAGCTCTCATTTGGCTGAACTGTGCCCAGACCTCAGGGAGGCTGCAAGTTTGTGCTTACTCCACATAGTCTCCACCCTCTGATCCTCTCCTGGGTCAGCATCCTGGATGGGGAGTGCTGGTCAAGCTGGTCTCTTTCCATGGGTCTCATAGTCAGAACCTCACCTGTGCCAGCCTTCAGTGACATTTGCCAGTGTTGGAAGAGCCACTAACACACAACTGACCCTGGTCACAGATGGTGGAGAGACCTGCCCCTCCCCCCACTTATATGTACTCCTGCTGATGAGAATCCTGGGACAGAAAGCTATATTATGAGCCCATCTGGCCCAGCACTGTTGTGTTTTAGAACGGAAATCAAGACTCAGAGAGAAAATGACCAGGCTAAAGCAGTGGTCACACAGAACAGCTTGGGGGGGGGGGGTTGTGAGCTTCCTTGTGGCAAGTGCAGTGGACTAGCAGGGAGTGTAGAGAGGAGAGGGTTGTGCAGCCTTGGAGGTTTATTCTGGGCACACAGATGTTCTCCCTCTAATCCTTACCCCCTCCTTTCTTTTCCAGCAGCAGCTATAAAAGCAGGAAATAGATGTGGATTGATGGCCTATAATGGGCTTAGTTAGTGCTGTGACCTGCTGAGTTATGTAAGTCCTATTTATTATCGGCTTTGATGAAGTGTCCATTGAAGCAACTCACTAAGCTGATTCCATGACATTTCCTTTAGCTTGCCCAGAGGCAGCAGCAGAAATTCCTCTGCAACTTCAAAGAACAGAAATTATGGTGTGGGTGCTCTCAAAAACCCTTAGGCCAATGTTTCTCTTACCCATCTCAAAACCTGCAACTTCAGCACCAGTCCCAGTTTGGGTCTCCTGGACTTGTAGGCTATAGGCTGTCTTGGTGGAGCTGAACAAGGTATTTTTCTGCCCCAAGTGAAGGGGTGAGGAGAACCAAGGCAGTAAGAAAGCACAAAGACCACAACTGGCCAGGAATGAATGAAGCTTTGTCTCCTGGGAAACAAGATGTTTGGGACTGCAGCTGAGCTGCTCTCATTCTTATAAGCAAATGTTACCAACCTGAAGATCAGAATCACCTGGGTAACTTGATATGGGCAAAAGAAGGGAAACCCTTACTGTATGGTAGCTCCTAGGGCAAATCATGGCCACAGCTCCCTCTTCTGGTCCGACTGAGAACTATAGTTTATGGCTGAGATTCCTGTTCCCAGAGTCAGGGTATATATTGTTCTCCTATATTTTTAGGGCCTAAACTCAGATCATAACTGTTTTATATCTGTGGGTGGAAGCTATTTTGTTGCTTTTAGCATGTCCAAAAAAATCAAAAATCTCAGTTATTTGGATTCAGTGTCTTTTTGATAAATTTTTAATTCTAAATATTCCAACACCCCTTAACCCACTCCCACCTTGAACAAGTATATCAAAACGTCATTAAAATCTACACTGAACTAGGCGGTGGTGGCACATGCCTTTAATTCCAGCACTTCAGAGTCACTGGCAGATGGATTTCTGAGAGTCTGAGGCCAGCCTGGTCTACAGAGTGAGTTCCAAACAGCCAAGGCAGTTATACAGAGAAACTCTGTCTCAAAAAACAAAACAAAACAAAATCCACACTGCAACATATCTCATCACACTGGGTGTAATCAACTGCAGGAGGCTGGGGGCAGGTTTTACTCAGCACTCCTACCTGTCAACTGAATGCCCTCCTGACCACTAACATGTGTCAACTGTACCGTGAGTCA